ATATTATATTATATAAAGATACATCCTCTATTGTGAATAATTTTCAGATTACTAGACAATCAGTCAAAAAAAGTTTCCTCTGAAAGGCTTTTGAAATCTGGTTTTAGAGCCATGACGTGACCCAGTTATTTTTGGATTTCCCCTGCTTGTTTTATGAAGAACTCATCCAAACGTTTTTCTTCCCCCACTGATAAAACAGCTCCCATCATCCCTCACTCACAGACATGAAGTGTCAGGAAAATTCTTATGGCTGGTGCGTATGATGTAAGATTACGTCTGCTTTTAAACATTTTAATCTAGGGAAAACAAAGTTTGTGTAATACCCACACACTGCCATGGAAAAATGTGTTTGTACAGCAAGGTGGTGGCTTTTTATATCGAAACCCAACCAAGATACTAGCAGTAAATCTATATCCTACTGCTTAAGATACTGTACCTACTTATGTTTGGTTACTTTAAATTATGTTTCTGGTCATCAGTGTTTTAAAATTGGCATGGCAAATGAAACTCTACCCAGAAAGGTTCCTGGTCGGGATTTAATCCGGCAAACTTCTCATTGAGATCCAGCACATTCCAAGAAATGCTTAGTTTATCACTCTAAGACAATGCAACAACCCTGTTTCACCCATGAAGATTAACATATTCTCTGTTACTGAGTTTTTCTCAGCTTTTTATAACACAGCCATTGCAGAATTGTTTGATGCCATAGGCCATGTTTTGTTAGGTTGCCCTCATCTCTCAGGGTTTATGCTTTGTGGTTTAGACTTATTATTATGCTTATTTTTAATTTGCTTATGGCCTTTTGTGTCATGTCATGAATATAATCTTGTTTTACAAATTCTTTGCACAGCCGTGAGATGACACAGATATGCTGCTATTAATCTATAAAAAGAATGCAGAATCTAAATTAGATTGCTTTAGGATGTTTACTGGTGGTTTGTGCAAATGTGATTATTTGGTTTTATTTCCATACAGCTTATTTACACTGATACACTTACCTCAAGGCAAATATTTCCTGCTTTTCAAATACATACTCCATCACTTCATCATTTTGAGCACAGTGTGTATGACAGCACTGGATCTTCATCTTTATTAGACCATGCAGTTATCTGTCCATTTTTAACAGGAGCTCGGTATACTCATATTTCCACTCCTTTTTTTATTGGGTCAGCTATTTTCTTTATTTTTCCATTCTTCAAACCGTAAATTTAAAGGACGTCAAAGCGTGATTGTACAATACTGTATGTGGGTGTGTTATGAAAAATCCATTTACTTTGTGGTTGTGGCTAAAACTGAAAGCATAAAGAAATCTTCTCAAACAGCTCTCACATTCAGTGCCTGCCATGAAGAGGTCGGATAGAACAATGAAAAACAGTAAGAAATGTGTTCCTAAAGGTCTTTTGAAAATATTTGTTATATACTTGTTGGCTTGAAAATAAAAAAAATAAGATATTGGAAATTATTGCTAAAACGCTCCCTCTGCTTTCCATTGCGCTGACACTCATCCTGTGTATACGCCCCCCTTTCCACACACACACACACACACAC